ATTTATAAAGTAAAGATAATTCCTAACTTCAGACAAAGTTTTAGGTGGAACATAACATAAAATTTCTCCCTTTTTTTTTGGAAGAACGTCTCAAACGCTACGAAGATGAAAAAGATCAAGATAGTAATAATACATCAAAATTAATAGACAGAGTCACATATTTACGAAAAAACAGAGAAAATGATGTTTCAAAGGTGATCACTAATATTGAAGATTCGATGAACGTTGATCTCTGCTTCGTTTTAGATTGTACATGTTCTATGGCTCCTCACATCAAAGCAGCGAAAGAGCATATATTAAAAGTGGCTAATTATGTTAATAACAATAATTCACAAATTAAATTCTGGGTTGGCTTCTGTGGATATCGTGATCACGGTGATCGTGATTGTTTACAGATTTTTGATTTTACTAACTCTCTCGAGAGATTTGAATCATACATAACTAATAAAGTGATGACTGGCCAAGGTAACTCGGATATTCCAGAAGATGTCCTAGGCGGTCTTAATTCTGCAATAACTACGATGACTTGGAGCAATACCACCCGTATACTTATTCATATTGGTGATGCACCACCACATGGTCGTCGTTTTAGTAACATATATGACCGATACCCAAACGGTGATCCCAATGGTTTAACCGCTGAAAGTGTGCTGAAAGAAATGCGATCAAAAAACATTTTATATTATTTTGGAAAGATTAATGATTCAACGGAAATAATGCTTGGAATATTTCGTGAAATAATTGGTGAATTTCCTGTATTTGATCTCAACGCTACGGGAAGTGACCCTTCGATATTAGTCGATAAATTCTGTATGGCTACTAGTTCTGCCATCTTTTCTTCTGTTACATTAACCACTACGTTAAGAAACCCGAAAAATGTATACTCTTTGCAACAAAAAAAACTTGAAATCAATCCACTCGAACCTGATTGGACTACTCTTCCAGAAAAAAAGGGAGAAATTTTATGTTATGTTCCACCTAAAACTTTGTCTGAAGTTAGGAATTATCTTTACTTTATAAAT